TACTTTTATCCCTCGGCCCATGTGTCATTGGAGACATCCCAACGTATATCACATGAAGGTAGCCGGGCTTACAGCAACCAAAACATTGTGAATATAACAATAAAAATGAGGACATTTGTAAATAGAGTAAATACCTCATCTCAGAAATACAGACAGGCCTTTACTAATATATAATGGTTAATAAGAAATATATATATATATATATATATATATGCGTGTGTGTGTGCTGAAAACGTCACAGCACTGAAGCAAGAGAAGGAAACTATATTTTATTCAAGCCAAATTTAGACGAATGATTGCTACTTACATTTTATGGGTAAAATGACCTTTTTTCATTTTTTTCAAATCTGTCGTTTACAACTTCCTGTTGCAGATGTCCTTTTATTCACACTTACACGATCTTTCCTATTCAGTGCTATCCTAGAAAACAAAACGTCCACACATCTGCTTGTCTTTAAATTCGTCCTATGCTTTTATAGGAATTAAATCCTATATATTTCAACCAATAAAATCCCATAAAAAGGCTTGTTGTATAAACAATAATTACTAGGACAAATACTACCAAATATTTGGCAGGCATAGTTGTAGACTTATCACGCGTTATTTATCTTTGGACCATATAAAAAATAATTTTAACTCTTTTCACCACTCCCGTAAATTCGCGAAAAAAAGATTTTCGTGAGCCAGAGTGAAATTATTTTTAACTAATAAAAATGTTGTATTCAATAAGTTCACTCTTCTATGTAAAAATTAGGTTTTGAATCCCCTTACGGATATAAAAATAGAAGCCTACCTCTTCTCGGGGTTCAAAACAATTTCAGAGACCAGTTTGATCTACACGTGTGGGCACCGATATGAACTCATACACGCACAAAATAGAACAGGCGACACCGAATCAAGTCTTGTACACGCACACAATAGAAGAGATTAACCAGCAGATATCGACTAAACCTTTGTTTATGCACACATGAACACATTAGGCTGACATTAGGTCATAGAGTAAGTCTGTCCACATATCTCAAACGGGACTACGAACGCTTAATTATTTTATAAAACAAACTTCAATGAAAGGAAAAAAATGAACATTTTATTTTCATTGTATATCTCCGAAAAGAATCTATAAATGTTACTTCAACTGACTTTCTGCTTCTACTCTTCCTTTTTATGTTTCATTTAAAAGCTGTGTTGTTGTTGTTGTTAAATATTTGTCATCTCGATATTCAGATACCAACAAAAACATGGGTAGACGGATCCCAACACTCCTGTAGGTAAAGAAAATTGAAACAAACTCTCGGTCCTCGTCTTTACTATGAAATTATCCTTGACTATCTTTCTCTTTAGGCACGCATCTGTTTGTCTGGAATTCCCACCTTCAAGCGACTTGAAGCAATTGTTACGTCAAAATGTCTGACTAGTTGTCGCTAACCACTAGAGCTTCTAACGATGACCATTCATTGTACTCGTTGATTTGTTTAACGTTTAGTGAGCTAAGCATCTGTACTGTCATCACTTCTTTCGCTTTCGATTGGATATTGTTTTTATGTGTACTACTTTCATAAACATATATCACAGGATATCTCGTCATGTACTTTTCAGTTTTGAAAATTTGGCACTTTAATCCTTGTTAATATTTTTATATTAATCTACCCTTGCATCTTATTGTTCATAATCTTCTTTTTATTTATCAATTTTGTTAATAACACATTAGACAAAATGCATGGCTTTCAACAAAAAAGACAATCTAATGTATAAGATACTAATTGGTGATTTTAAAATCAAACATGTACAGGAATATAACTATTTAGGCAGTTTAGCAACGGATGACTAAAATTCGATAAAGGAACTCCAAAGGGCAGAGAAAGAAACTAATGAAAATAGTAAGAGTTAATAAATATGGTTAGGAAGAAAAAATAGTTCTGAACTGCTTTTTAATACCTAGTCACTGAAAAGGAATTTGCACATAAAAGAAGTAGCAGCAAATAATTTTGCTTGGCTCTGGTTCACATGAATCTCATAAACAACTGAAGCTAAGTTAAGTTTGTGTGGACTTCACCAATGTGACCATGTACCTAAAACCGGCTGGATAAAAGTAGACTTTAATTTTATTTTGAACTTTTTTATTTTTTTCATGTCGTTAAACCCATTTATATACATTTTTGATACTTGCATCAGTGGAATTCGGTTAGTTTGTTTATTTCACATGTGAATCATTTCTATCCATAGTTTTACTGTTTCACATTCATTTCACTTCACCCACAATTCCTTATTATTATTCATATGCCTTTTCTATTGCATTATTCCTTTAAACTTTTCTGTGATGAATTAAGTGTCTTTTTATGTCGCATATGTAATTTTCCTTCTTATAAATGACATTTTTCTTCTTGTAAACTTGTCATCTTTTCCACGGAATATTCCTGTCTTGACTCATAATATATACTGATTTTTTTTGATATTTTTAATAATCCCCCCCCAACCGCTTTTTGATTCTCAATATCGTATCGAAATTCAATCTTACTCTCTTTTGTTTTTCTCTTTTTTCTGCTGTCTCTACGCGTTCATTATTCTGATTTATGTCGTTTTTCATTCGACACACTTGCTGAATCCACTCGTCCTCATTGAATATGTCTATTTTTCTCAATGAATAGATATTATCTACCAAGTCCCTTGTATTTTAAGCAACCTGCTTCCCATGGTAACTACTTATTTTCCACCTGATAGGGCCTATATTTATATGTTTGCCTGATAGACATCAACTGGTGAGACTGGTGTTTATTCATAACAGATTACATCTGTTCTAAATTGTCTCCTCTAAAATCAATATCATGTATGTGAATCTGGTTGTCGTCATTTAAAGAGAAATCATTTCAATTAGAAATGTGGGCAAGAACGCTTCACATACTATGCGAGAAGATTTAAATGTTCACCGATGAGCATTCAAGTTGACCGACCTAGGGTCACGTTATATATTGATTAAAAAAAAAAAGGGGGAAATGGTTAATAAAATAACTAATAATAGCGACTGATTCAAAAGGTGGATAATCAATCGGTATGGTCACCTGCTTATATTTCCATTCACATTTAAATGCTTGAAAATGTAATTGAAAATTGTCGTATTAAATTCAGACAAAGGAACAACACAAGGGTAAAAAGTGAAAAGAACGAAAAGACAACTGAAAGAAAATTTTCGAACTACTGGCAAAGTTTACTGAACGTTAATTATTATAGATTTCTTTATTACAGCATCAAGATTGTCATTCAACGTCGTCTACTTATCAATGTACATCGGAAATAAATCAGTTAAGTACCGCACGTGATACACACTTAGGCGATCATCTCTCATAAAATATATTATTTTATATATTTCTAATAAAAACAAATTAATTGTTCTAGTTCCATGTGTCATGCCTCTTCCGGATGTCCCAGTATCAGTTATTTCCATTTAACTCAACTCTCCAAGTTTTGTTGACCTCCGCTGTAGCCAGGTATTGAACTCAGCACTCTTTGTGTTAAGTCACTGGATTTACTTCAACCAACGCTTTCATCCACTGGGCTATGTGCCATTCAGTAAACAAAGGGTTAGGTTCGAAATTCCAATCACCCGAAGAAGGCCAGTGCATACAACGGGTGAAACGTCGTAAATATGGCAAGAAAGATGAGAACAATGTAAATAGTGTAAATAATTACAATACTTTATCTCAGAAATATAGAGAAAAACAAATAAACTGAAATTAACTGTTATCTAAATATAAGTTCTGTATGATCAATGGATGATTAATGTTAATCTTACTGGAAAAATATAGTCTTCCTTAATAAAATCTGACGATATACGCTGTAAGTTGAAAAAGCTTCTCTAATTTTGAATTTTGAAAAGCTTCTCTAATTTTTGTTAACGTGTTCTTTTTTCTGTTTCCTTTTGTTTACTTTTCATCTGTGGGTGTCTTATTACATTTTACCCGGTTCTAACTCTTTGAATTTGAAAATAATCTTTTTGTCCTTTTTTTATTCCATTCAGCGAATCTCTTTACGATAATTCCTTTTTGCTCAACTCATTCTTTTCTTTCTCACAGACTTTTTTTTTTAGATTTTTCTACTATTATAAGATCACTACAGTTTCACATGAATTTTCTCAACTACTTTAAATTTAGTTTATTCCGATATGAATGCCTTCAAGTAATCATCAACTTAAAACATGTTAAATGTGCTGCCAATAAGAAAAAAATCAAATAAAAAAATATTAATACCAGCCAAATTTAATCTCACTGTTTCACTAATTTGTTTTTGCAAATTACTGCATGATTAATTTCATTTGTCTTTCTTTTACATGTAATCTCTCCGCTTTAATAGTCCAACTCTTTCATTTTCGGCTTCATTACATCGGCTTTTTCCCGCCTTGCACAATGTTCATCAGCGCAAAATATCATACACTCAACATTTCACTTTTCGTTGACTTTTCTTTTTTTTATCATTTTATTATCAGTTTCCTTACTTCATTTCTTTTCTTTATTACAACTCAGTATGTTCCGTAAAATAGTGATTTGCCGAAATCTTCAGTTAACCATTTCCTTGATTCTATCTTTTGTATTCATCATTTCTTTTGAATCTATTCACGCCAGCGGATTCTTTATCCTTTATTTTTTTCTTAACCTCTTAAAAGCAATTTTCTTTTATTCTTTTACTAAATTCATTTTTAGTTTCCTTCATTTTTTGTTCTTTCCTTTCTAGTTTCTTTTCTTTTCATCAGCACACACCCTAAATGATCCTTCAAATTTCAATCTGTGCGTTTCTACACCTCCTCTTTTGTATTTTAATTTCATTTCGTTACTATTCAGTATATTACATGTTTCTTTATTTTTCCTTTCTTTCTTTTAAAATACATAATTGATTTTTTTCGCTGTTTATTTTTTGTTTCGTTTTATCTATCAGTTCTCCTTCCTTTTTATCCTCTTTTCACGCATTCTCTTTTCCAAAAAATTCTTACTTATTGCTTTAACAATTTTAAAATGTTCTTCTTTCTTCTCTTCAAATGTATCTTCCTTTCCATTATTTACGTAGTCTTCCTCACTCAGGTCAAAGACTATTTCATTTTTATTCATGTGTCTCATCGGTATACACTGCGATTTCCATTACAATTCATTACTTCCCTAAATATGTATTACAGTTCAAATTCTCCATTGCCAATTTCACCTCATTGTCTTCTTACAGAGTGGACCTAATATATTTCGGCAAGTTTCGACTCGAATCTTTTGTGATCTGCTGCCGGGCCGATTAGACTACTACAGTAAACTAAGTGTAGACATTTAGACATCTAGCCTTTATTATTATTTTATTTCCCCAATAACGTACGAGTCGCTATCTTCTATATGTCCATATTCTAGAAGTACGAGTTATATTTCTCGAATATACTAGAAAATCTTTGATGATTTTTATTAATTTATTACTAGTTTTTTTTTCTTTCATCTTGCCATTTAATTTAATATCTCATCCTCTTCACTCCTCCTCCATCTGCCGCTTCACCTTTTTTCTTTCAAACGTTTCCGCCTTTTGTCCTCCTTCTTTAGTTTCCTTTCTGCCTCGATTTCCTTTCTCTATCGTTCTCATTGACTCATCTTTCTTCTTTTTTATTTTGCTTTCTTCTAACTAATTCTTTCAAGAAAAGAGAATATGGTGCGGAAGGAGAAAATTAAATGAAAGATAGAAAAATATTAAAAATATATACAGTGACACGCATAAGTATTGGATACATGTTATTTTCTGTTATAACTCTAGTTTATATTCGCCATTTTGATAAAAAAAATGGATCCAACCATGAGTTTTTAATTTTCCTTCCACATACAACTAAAACAACATTACAAGATATTACTTACCAAATATCAGGCAAAATGGCGAACATAAACTAGAGTTATAACAGAAAATAACATGTATCCAATACTTATGCGTGTCACTCTATATTTCTATCTTTCATTTCAGTTCTCTTTCTACGCTATATTCTCTTCTCTCTTTTCACTCCGTCAATTTCGGTATCTATCTATTTATGCCAGTCCGTTCGTAATCTATCTATCTATCTATCTATCTATCTATCTATCTATCTATATATATATATCAGTATGTTCATATCTATCTATCTATCTCCTTTTAGGTTGAGTGTTTCAATGCTGTGATCTTGGTTTAAGCAGTTTCTCTTACAAATCGAAATATAGTATTTAATTTTTTCCAGTTGCAATACATTTCTATAAATCTGAAATTTTCAGATTGCAGTAGGTCAGAGGCCATTTTTTATATTGACAAATAAACAGAGAAATGTTCAAGTCTTTTAATAACTAATTACTAAAAGACTTGAACATTTCTCTTTTTGTGTATATATATTCTCACATAGAATCAATCGTGCGTTCACTTTCGTCATAGCTATGCACATACTCATACACAACGACAAATTAAATATCACACAATTCAAGGTATATTCTTCATCTTCCCTTATTTCAGAAGGATAGTTTTTCGTTCTTGACATTTGTCTTTAGCTTCTGATTTAATTCATACTTCCTTTTGCCTGTTGTGTAAAATTCTCAAAACCTTAACTTTACAGTCTCTTGCATAGAATCATTTTCGAATCAGGAGACGTGTTCCTTTAATCTCAGCAATTGTAGCGTTTTCTATTTCATTTTTAAATCACAAAGTTTTTCGCTTCTTTACTTTATCGTTGAGTTTTTGAAGTTCGGTTTATAGTATTCATGCTGTGACAGTTAATTGCTAATTTTAATTTAGTATATCACTAGACTGAAATAATAGGACACTTAGTGAGGATCGAACTCGCTACGCATTTTAAATGTTCTGCGAGACGAGTTAAATGTTATACTATAATAGGCACTCATTTCAATTTCATATCAATTGAATATTTTCAACGCATATTTTCATTTCGTAATATCTTCCATATGAGATTTCGTGCTAAAATAATAAAAAAAATACTTCACCTTTTTCAGAAAAAAAAAATCAAAAACAGATGTTTCTTTTTGTTATGTAAGTTCGACATGGATTAACGAACCAAAAGATTTTCTTTCAAAATCAAATGTAGATAAATAAAACCAGAAAAAGTATAAAGCTTTGGTTCATTGAAAGTCGTTATCGGACAATAAGCAAGCGGTTTTCCAACTGAGTTATCTCAGAATCTCCATGAAAAATAAAATACACTTTTGACAAGAAATAAAAAAAAATGTAAGACTTCTTTCCTCAGAAAGTCTCCACACAGTTCTTCATCTGCTGTTTTGCCAGCAGGTATTCAAAGACATCAATAGCGCCTTAATTATGATGTCCTCAACGAATTTCTTTCGTGTATTTTTTTAAATTTAACACAATGTAATTCTTAAAGAATGATGTCTTTGAGAACTAGAAGGTGAAGTGTATGTCATCAGCAGATGGAACCGGTCACAATATTCGATTAACAAAGAAGAGTTTATGATACCCACAGCCAATCCAACATTATGAATAATTAAGTCTATTGTACGAATGGAAGGTTAATATAAACGGCTCTATAGATAAGAATGTTACGACCGAAGCAGCGTTAATATGATGGAGCATTATTTTTCCCTCTTTCAAGAAATATTTCTTTGGCTTCGTTTAACATACATCAGACATTTTAAAGAAGCAAATTTTGCACCGAATATAACAAGAACTTTTATATATACTATTTCCTTTTGCTGAAATGAGCTACTGATACGTTGTGCAAATGATATCTTATTCCTCTTTGCTTTCGTTTCACATGTGACTGAAATTTATAACACACCTGCATATTCTGGAAGTTGATATTTAAATGCGTCTTTCTATGGAATTCGTGTGCGGATTGTGGATTTTAACTGTTTTTATGTTAAAAGTGAAAATATAAGAAAATGAGATTCATTTTTGTTGTTTGATGCCCTTTTATTTCCAGAAAGTAAGGAACATTGTACAAAATACAACAAAGATATGTGCCATTTATGGAGCGGTATGTGCTTCGTTAGGTTCAAAAGTGGAAATTTTGATCTGGAAGGCCGAGAACGTTCCGAAACTCTTACTGAACAAACGGTAATCTTTAAATAATCCAGATCTCACAACACGAGTCATAGAAGAGATATTTCACATATCTCATATTCAGACAAGTATTATTCCGTTATGGCACATATACGGTTGTATAAATCTGTGTACAAATATTTAAATATTAACTTTGAAATTTACTTAAAAACGACGCTTAATTTTGTTCCAACTCAACATTTTTCTGTACTGAACCGGGAAAGAGAAGAAGATATCAGCTTCTCTTTCCGTGCCGTGTCCCTTTAGGACTTGGGCGATCATATTTTTTTCTAAACTTATTGTCCTTTGTAGTTCATAGAAATGTTTTTTTCTGCTATGCTCCGTTATTTAAATTATTCTTTGATTTCCTCTTCCATTCTTGCATTCAACATATCCTGTGAGTGTTAAATTTTACAAGCCCTCTATCTTCCTTACGTGTACTAGAAATTCCAATTTTCTCATTTTGATTTCAAGTGTAAGTGCCCTTTTTGTTGCCATTTTCTCTAAAACTTCGCTGTTTCTTACATATTCAGTCCATGGTATTATGAATATCCTTCTGTAGAAACACATTTTTTGGTTCTTTCAAATATCTTCTTAATCTGTGAGGGGATTGTTCAGGATTCGCTTCCATATTGGAGGACCAATATTACAAAACAGCCCAACACTCTTTTCTTTGTCTCTAAGCAAATTTTCCTGTTCCTTAATATTTTGAATAACTTTTGAAAGACATCTTGTGCTACTCCAATATAGTGACACATTTTTCATCTTCTGTTAAAATACTTTTCAGATATTTACAATTTCTTACTTGGTTGATTTTGGTGTCTCCATTTCGTAATTCGCATCTTCGGATATTCCCTTTGCTGACAACTATACATTATGTCTTCTTACAATTGATAATTAGTCCTTTTTCTCGCTTTTATTCGCTTATCTTCTGTCAGGGTGCCTGTAGTTTACTTCCTATGTCTGCTATAAACAATGTGTTAATTGCCTATCTGATATGGTTAATGCTGTGACTGTCAATAATGAATATTGGTAGGATTTGTAATTCTGTCAGAACGCCTTACTGTATAAGGTTGAATATGCCCGGTGAGAAAACATATCCTTTCTAACGCTGCATTCTATTTTTGTGTATTTACTGGATTCATCTGTCTTTATACAAGTTGTGTGCTTACAGTACAAATTGTGGATTGTTTTAATATCCTTCCCAAATAAATCAAATCTACCTAGAAGCTCAAACAGCTATTTGCGATGTACTTTATCAAACGTTTTAGCATAATCTATGAAACATGCATACTTCTGCTTGCCTTTGTATTGCTCTTCCAGATATCATTCTGATCATAAATATTGCATTCCTTGTTCCATTGTCTTTAATCAAACCGTGCATTGATTTTGTCTGTTTAATTCAGTTAATGTGATTTATTCATCAAAGTTCATTTATTCGTTTGCAACTGGGTTCTTGGTCAGCGTTATGAAAATGAATCTAGAGAAATCTTCTGGTATATCACCATTGTGTGGATATATCATGTAAAATGTTTGTAATTTTGTCAATGCCGAGATCATCAAAAACTTTCAGCATCTATATTATAATTCCATCTGGTCTTACTACCTTGTTTCTCTTCAATTTGGCCATTACTGATTTGATTTCTGGCCCTTCCATTATTTTTTTTGTATTGTAAGTTTTCCTCTTTCGTCGTGAAAGGTTTCCAATATATTTATTCCATCCTTGAAGTGATTTTTAAAAGTGGAAATTCTTCAAAGTAGCTGATATAGGTGTCCTATTATTTTCCTTGACTGAGTTGTTCTTATATAATAAAAATCACTTTAGAATATATTAATAAAATTGATTAGAGGTACAATATCAATAACCTTCTATTCTAAATTATTTTAATTTAGTCTTATACAGGTGAGTAATACTTTAAAATGTTTACGATTTACACATATGTATATCAAGATGTATCAAGAAGTTTAAAATAAATTCAAATTCGGGGCAGTCTAGAATGTGGCGACAGAAAATTGAGCAGCAAACAGACGATGTATACTGATAAAAAGCAATATACCTTTTAGAAAATAAGCAAAGAAAAGTGTATTGAATTACATATAAAATATTGTAGATGACAATGAATGCAGGACAAGCTCTTCAAAGATAAACGGACTTTAAGCAAATGGCAAAGCAACAACCAAGATTTGATATTAGAAGCGCATTCGTTATTTGCAGCAACAAAACACTTGTATTTTACTCAGTTGTGATCATGCAATTCCTGAAAGTAGATGGTATATACCAGAAGTAGAAGGAATCCATAATCCCATATCCTAAAGAGGAAAAAGCATTTATTTTACAAAAATATTTACTTTTCAATATAATTTTCTTATTTGACAATGTACTGAATTATATGATGAATATTAATCAATTATATCCAATATTATATAATGAATTCCTACGGCCAAAATTTAGTGAATAAATATCTTGCTAGGACATATAAATACCGCTTCATAATAACCGTTAATCGATCTAGATAAACATTATATATATATATATATATATATATATATATATATATATATATATATATATAATGGATTTTTAATTTATTTGTTTAATTTAAATATTATTTTTAAAAGGATACTCATATTTGAGTAGAGGCTCTGTTTTTATTTATTTATTTATTAAACAGTATGTTTATTTATTTACATCTATCGGCTTGAATATTCAAGAATTCTTATTAAAAAAAAAAAGTATTCGAACCCGCGCGCCCTAGGGAAAAATGTCATTAAATGTGAAGTGCCTTAGACCACCTCGACCATGTTCGAATCCTGCTGAGGAGTCTTGAAAAACAATGCAGTGTAAAGGAAAATATTGTATAATGCAGAGTATTAAAAAATTAAATAAATGTCATCTTCCATTTTTAATAAAGTATGATGAAAATTATAAAAAAAGTTTTTTTAAAAATTGGTAAGTTCCATTTCAATTGCATTCGCAATCTTAAAAGGATTTATGAGGTTATATATCATTGAGATGACAAATATAAAACCGTATTCTCTGAAAATCATAACTTTATATAGTGACATTGTCAACAAACCGAATACGTGAAATCTGTATAGGTTTTATACAAACTGAAAGTTTCTGTAATAATTATACAATATCAATGAAGCCAAATATATTTAAGATTTTAGATTAATTAACAGTAAATTCATTGGAGCATATACCTTTTTGCCAAAATAGAAAAAGAAAGAGAATCAACGAGCCACTGAAAGGAAAGTAATAAGCAAAATTTAACAAAACTGCGGCAACGATTCGTCTTGAACTTTTATTGCGAAATATGACATTTGCGTAATAATAATTTGGTAAAAACATGAAAGCATGAATCCTAAGCGACGAATATTAGGAAAAGAACAGAAAAGCTTTGTTTCCAGAAAAACATTCAGGCAGAAGTTATCTTATTTATAGTATTTAAATGTTCGGACCGTTGTCCTCATCTTTATTGTCATATTCACGACGTTTCGGTCGTTGTAAATAATGTAAATAATTATAATACCTCATCTCAGAAATATAGAAAGATATAGAAGTTATCTTTTAAACAAACCAATTAGAGAATATTTGCAAAATTTGAGAAAGTACAAAACGAGTGTTGTTCATTTGGAACTGAAGCATTGATCCATGATTATATATATATATATATATATATATATATATATATATATATATATAATCAGCGACAATATCAATAGATTATGATTAATTTAATTTTTACGGCTTATCAACCGTTTGCATGGTATTTGAAATCAGAACTATTTTTAGATTATAAGAAATATTTTATAGATAATAATGGCTTAATGATAGAAATCCTACTAATTAATCCACCCCATAGCTGAAGAAGAAGATGTGGATTCATACCTTTTCTAAGGGTATTTGTGCTTAAGTGAATATAATGAACGCTAACCGAATTGGAAGTCAGAGATCCGAATTCCAATTCCTAGCCGTTATCCATTACACCACCAGCACATCAAAGCTTACAGCATCTAGTATTTCCAAACTGTTACCCATCTAAGTACCGACCAGGCTCAACGTTGCTTAACTTCTGGGATCATACGATAACCGGTATTTCAATGTGACGTGGTCGTAATCCTGCAGTGTCAATAGAGAGAGCCTTAACCGTATCTTTTTTTTTTTATTCGGTATCACCCCATGCAAGTCAGTAAAGCCACTAAAACACAAACGATTGGAAGAATTTGGAACAGAAACATTAATAATGAAAGAAAGAGAAAAGAGTAATCAGGTGGAGATAGCGATTGACATTGCATTTATATTTTTGTAGATTAAAGTTGGCTGGAAAGTATGGAACCAGGAGTTCCACAAGCGAGATGTGCGAGAAAAGAAACTGTTAACATAGAACTTACGGCTACAAAGATTCTGGAGAAAAATTGTCTCGCATGACACAGAGAACCAATTTTCTTAGCAACTGACCTTGTAATGGATTCAATATAGTCTTTTCACTTCATGTCAGCTGAGAATGTTAACGAGGGAAGGCGCAACAATTTACTTTCGTACAGGATAGCATCAGCCATGCTGATGGAAGGAAGCGTCGGTTTCTCATATCATTAATGGAAAGAAGTTTAGTTAGAGAGGAATTAAAATTGACAAACAATTAACGACTGATTTGAGTTTTAACGACGGACTTGATGTCTATGATTTATAATGTTGTCATTGAGCATCAAATGATGTTATATATGCATATTATCAATCTACTTATTTTTTGCATTCAACAGGTAGTTAGGAACAAGAGCATAAAACCGATTACCTAATACCACGTTTCCCCATACTTAAATAAATGATGGCGCTTCATATTGGTATAATTATCAATAAAGTTGACTAATGGTCACGTACTAGGTGCCTCTAATTAGTAAATAAAAACTAGCATATAAATAAATACGTTAATAAAAGAAAACATTAATGAATGAAACAATAGTTACAATGTCAATGAAAATGCTTATTAGATGACTGGAAGTGGTTTCATACAAATTACTAATTCCCTGTCAAGAGCCAAATTTAGATTAACTGAAAGTTTAATGACAATCAAACGAACAGAACGTGTATAAGGACATGACAACGTTAAGGGCTCTCATAACGTGCTAAATTAACTCGTTTTATCATGATAGGTAATATACAATTTATTTATAATGAAGAGAGTCAAGATGGAAAAACAGTCGCTGGTTTCTGCCATTCAATTACAGGCTATTTAGCCAAGTATGAAATTGATTTTGTTTCATCGCAAAACATAACGCCCTATACATGGCTAGTTTAATTATACTCTTTGATTTCCAAAGGGATCGAAGTTAATCATTTTGACGCTGTCGGACGCAATTACCAATATTATTTGATCCCTGCAACTACTTTCATTTGTTTTTTTCACAAAAATATTTCATGCAAAATTTTATTTTGAGAGCGGTTACATCCGGCATTAAGTGATATATATTTGTTTTCTGTCTGAATTTCTGAGACAAGGAATTATCCATTGACCAAATATTTATAATAACTTAGCTATTTTCCTCTAGCACAATAAGGTGGCGCTATTTAAGAACTTTGCACCTGAAGGCCTTCTTTGGCTCATTTGTATACTAGATCTACTGAGAAAGTTATCAGTGGCAATAATGTGTGCTGAGTTTGTCACTTGCCTTATTTTCCAATATAGCTATGTATTATTATAATTTGATCCCATAGATCATGACCCCCTTTTTTCCATCACTCATGATCTGCTATACTTGAGTTTATGGTCTCCTAGTTAACAACCTATGTCCTTTCATCTGTCCTTGATTTTAGATCATTGTAGATCATTAATAGTGTACTGTCACAGCTAAATGGAATGCTTTATATACAGTTCTTCATGTTTTTATATGGAGGTTAGATCTGGTCAAGTATCTCCGATGAGTGGAACTGCGTTTGCATACTATCCTGATCCTGTATGAACCGTTGCTCTTTTGGACTCTTCCCGACAAGTTTGGTAGTTGCTTAATCCTTCGATCAGGCAGTGGAATCTATTCTACTTCCGTATAATGAACAGACATGACATCACAAGGAGAAAGTAATTAATACGAATTATCTTCCCCTGTCGGGAGTAACATAATAAGAACAGCCTACCCACGTGAGAGAAAGTTGCCGAATATGACAAACAGCTGAAGAAGGCTAGGTATATAACGCTTAAAAGTTGTGGCTACAGCAACCACCAAGTAATACTTCCAGTGAATGAGTCTACGAGTTACTTGTTTAAAATTGTTTTAATTCAGTGAACTATAAATAATAAAACCCAAAGATTTAATTTATTTTTTCTAGTTTTAAGTAATGTGTTAAGCATTTTCTTTGAATTGATGTTTTCTGTTTTAGGCCAACTCGTAATAACCTTTTGGATAAGTTGCAACAAAGAGAATTGTAAGTTTCATTCTAACGTAAACTTATCAATAAAACAGCGCTTATTATTCTATTAATCGTTTAGAACCTGTCACGCTTTACGAACGAATTTTGCTGTACAGGTTGTCTCAACAAAATGTGGTGGACAGTCTATGCGCCAGGAAAGAAAAAAAGGAACAGAAGATTAACGTAGCGGCAGGTGATAATTTTCAAACGCATTTTCAACACCGAATTTGGTGTATCAGACTCGTGTAGAAACGGCCAAATATATCGCGGTGTGCTCGCTTCTGTGGATTATTGAGAATAAGGATATGAACAAAGATTTCAAATTGATATTCCCATATATGTCATACAACTTGACAACGCTTGTCTCTTCACATATATGTATGTTTATTGCTGAGTTTGTGCATATGCACTATGTTTTACTTGCTTTCAGCCTCAGGGTCTCAGAGATATTTATTGCTAGTTATATGAACACTTTGAACCTTCAGTCGATGAACATTTCGTAGTGGATTCTCAAAGATGGATGATTTTCAAATGTCAGAGTTCAGTACAGAGAAGTTTTATTGAAGGTACTTATATAAATAATATAAATTACAGGCACTGGTTCCAAATATGTTTGGTATTATAAAGTTTGAGAATATTGAAGAATAGCCATCAAGATACTTTTTAAAAACTCTCATTAAGTCAATGTAATCGAGATATTTTTTTCCAAAAATTAGATAGATTTTAATGATTATGAATTCAATTTTAACTCAAACTTAAAAATGTTCTAAAATTACTTATCACCCATTTAAAATTCTTGCATTTTAGATAAAATATACATAATCGACCCCCCCACCACCACCACCAAAAAAAGTACTAGATCCACTTTATCACTCCCAAATCTTGTCTTCTTAACGCACGGTATATATTTATATTCCTTTCTTCCTTTTATTAATCTCTCTTCAAATTTTAATTTTATTTGATTGAAGCATAATTCTTTGGAAATACGTGGGTGGACTAACTATGAAGGAGTCATGCTAGATCTATGAAACTTTGTATGTATTAATATCAGCTCATCTTATTAATAACTGCATTGTTTCATTCCAGGTGAATTGGCATCTGACTGTTCAAAGAAGGCTTCAAAAGTAACTAGTAGCGACTTATCTTGAAAATGGACAAAATTTGGCATGGTGATGTTATCATGTACCTGCAGAAAAAGTGCTTAACCCACAAAAGGGCATTCATGCTGACATGTTTGCTACATTAGGAGATGACGCACCAGCTTTAGCAAAAGTTGGCAGTTGAATTTAAAAGGGAAAGTGAAAAACTTGATGATAATCCAAGGCTTGTATGTCCTGTATCTGCCAAGGAAAACATTGATCGTGTTCACCACATGGGTGGCATGCGATTGAATAGCCAATATTATTAGTATACTCTGTAGAGAGTTGAGAATATTCTGCACAATGAACTTGCTATGATGAAGTTTGAGGCAAATCCAGCTGGTTCTCTTGAACGTTTCCTGACTTAGGGTGAGTGCTGGGTTCATCCCACTGAGTGAGAAGTCATGCAGTGGAAACACTCCTCCACAAAAAGCTCCAAAAAAGTTCAAGGTCGTTTTATCTGCAAGGAAGCTGATGGACTCAATTTTTGGGGATGTAAAAGGTGTTGGTTTTATTGACGATCTTCAAAAATCTAAATCATAGAGAGTACCATATCAATTTACTGAGGTTTTTATGAAAATTTATCGAGAGATCAAAGTCGAAGAAAACTGATGAAAATGGTCATCATGACAATGCTCCATTACGAAAGACCTTGCTACAAATTGATGCTGTTGATATTTTTTGACCAAATGGATAAAAAGCTTCTTCACTACTACAATCCAAGCACCGCAACAGCAATGGAAGAATTATGGCAAGAGTAACTTTGTTGAAAAATAAACCTCCTTTGATCAGATTCCATGAGATTATCTCGGTCAGTGTATGAACTTTTCAACTGACTCTCGTAAAGTTGGTGAGTTTTGTGTCTGAAACTAAAACCAAATGTAGGAGAAGAAAGAAGTGAATAATTGGATATCAAAATATGAATATTATTCAAAAATAATTCTCATGTATGTTCAAGAGGAAAAAAATATTTTTTATTATTCAAATTTATGTATGGCCATGTTTTTTTAATACTCAAGGCTTCGTCACTTGAAATAAAAATGAGAGAAGATGACTTTTTCATTCCTTATTCTCGCACACACAAAAACGCTAAGTTATTCAAATGAAAATAATAGTAATAAAGAGTCTGCTAAATTACTTTCATTCTCCACCTGGGATATTTCTCGAGGAATTAAATTTTTTTAAGTTTAGAAAAGCAAGATACAAAACTTTATCTCTTCTCTCATATATATAGAACACATTAAACATTTTTGTAGTAATGTTCATCCAATAAAATACTAGAGTGCCACTAAAGGTATAAGGTTACTGAATGAGGGACGGGATAGAAACATAATAGGAGGGAGTAGAAAGTGTAGATTGAGGATATGGAGGATAGATAATAACTGACCCTAAATTTGAAGAGTAAGATTGTAATGCTCGGGGAAGCTGTGGATGAAGTAAGGCGGGGTTCTGTTCTAAAGGTCTGAAATTGAGTTACCAAAGAATAGAACCTGCCTGAACATTTCCTTGGAAATAGCGATGGTAACTGTAATATTAGCCGTTTCCTTATAAGGAAATATTCAACATTCATTGAT